GCAAAGGATGATACGAAGATGTGCCTTGTATTTGAGACTATATCTGATATGAGAATATAAAGGAAAAACAGTGGTGCAAGGACTGTACCTTGAGGAACCGAGCTTTTAACTTCTCTTATACTCATAATATGGTTGACTGTTACTCTTTGTGTTCTGTTCGTCAGAAAACTGAGTATCCAGCGTCCTACTTTACCAGTTATTCCCATTGACCTCATTTTGTGTGCTATCACTCCAAGGTCACATTTATCGAATGCCTTTGCAAAATCCATGTATACCACATCTGCATTCTGTTTTTCTTCTAATACCTCAGTGATTTTGTCACAATGGTCAAATAGCTGTGAGAGGCATGATCTTCCTGCTCTAAATCCATGATGTCCTGGATTGTGGAGGTCATTCATTTCCATGAAACTAGTGACCTGATTCCTGATCACTCCCTCAAATACATTTATTATGTGGGACATTAGTGCACCTGGTCTATAAATCTTTGTCAATGCTTTGCTTCCTCCCTTGTGTAGAGGGGCTACATCTGCCGCTTTAAGCGCATCTGGTATCTCCCCCTGTGTCCAAGCTCCACACTATACTGAGTGCCTGTGCTACTGGCAATTTGCATTTCTTTATAAATATTAAAATCCATGAGTCTGGACCCAGGGCTGAGTGCATGGGCATATTGTCAATTTCTCTTTCAAAATCTGTCACACTTGTGTTGATATCAGTTATATTTACAGGGATTTGGATATCACGCATAAAGAAGTTGTCTAGATCTTCCACTTTCATGCTGTTTATCGGAGTCCTAAACATGTCCCCTTCTGCTTTTTTAGGATTTCACTAATTTCATTGTCTTCCTCAGTGAATGAACCTTCACTAGTACAAATAGGTCCAATACTGGCAGTAAGTTTTTGCTTTAGATTTAGCATATGTGAAGAAATACTTTGAGTTTTTCTTTATTTCTTGAACTGCTTTCTGTTCTAGTTGCCTTTCTTCAGTCTGGATGATACCTGGTTGATGGGGTTCTGGGAGTTCTTCTACTCCCCAAGCCCGGCTAGAGGCCAGGCTTGACTTGTGAGAGTTTGGTCCACCAGGCTGTTGCTTGAAGCGGCCCACAGGCCCACATACCCACCACAGCCCAGTTGGTCCGGCACTCCTCGGAGGAAATAATCTAGTTTCCTCTTGAAGATGTCCACGGTTGTTCTGGCAATATTTCTTATGCTCGCTGGGAGGGTGTTGAACAACCGTGGACCTCTGATGTTTATACCGTGCTGTCTGATTGTGCCTATGGAACCCCTGCTCTTCACTGGTTCTATTCTGCATTTACTTCCATATCGTTCATTCCAGTACGGTGATATTTTACTGTGTAGATTTGGTACTTGGCCCTCCAGTATTTTCCACGTGTATATTATTTGATATCTCTCTCGTCTTCTTTCTAGCGAGTACATTTGGAGGGCTTTGAGACGATCCCAATAATTTAGGTGCTTTATCGGGTCTATGCGTGCTGTATATATTCTTTGTATTCCCTCTATTTCAGCAATCTCTCCTGCTCTGAAGGGGGAAGTGAGTACTGAGCAGTACTCAAGACGGGACAATACAAGTGACTTGAAGAGTACAACCATTGTGATGGGATCCCTGGATTTGAAAGTTCTCGTCATCCATCCAATCATTTTTCTGGCTGACGCAATATTTGCTTGGTTATGCTCCCTAAATGTTAGGTTGTCAGACATCATTATTCCCAAATCCTTTACATGCTGTTTTCCTACTATGGGCACATTTGATTGTGTTTTGTACCCTGTATTATGTTTAAGGTCCTCATTTTTACCGTACCTGTGTACTTGGAATTCATCACTGTTAAACATCATGTTATTTTCTGATGCCCAATCAAAAACTTTACTAATATCAGCTTGAAGTTTTTCAATGTCTTCAGCCGAGGTAATTTTTATACTAATTTTTGTTTCATTTGCAAAGGATGATACGAAGCTGTGACTTGTATTTTTGTCTAAATCTGATATAAGAATAAGGAAAGGCAGCGGTGCAAGGACTGTACCCTGAGGTACAGAGCTTTTAACTGCGCTTGGACTCGATTTTATATGGTTGACTGTTACTTGCCAAGTCCTGTTTGACAGAAAACTGAGTATCCAGAGTTCTACTTTATCGGTTATTCCCATTGACTTCATTTTGTGTGCCATCATGCCATGGTCACATTTATCGAAAGCCTTTGCGAAGTCCGTGTATATCACATCAGCATTTTGTTTTTCTTCTAATGCCTCAGTGACTTTGTCGTAGTGATCGAGTAGCTGTGAGAGGTACGATCTTCCCGCTCGAAATCCATGTTGGCTTGGGTTATAAAGGTCATTGGTCTCCATTAAATTGGTGACCTGACGCCTAATCACTCTCTCAAATACTTTTATTATGTGCGACGTTAGTGCAACTGGTCTATAATTCTTTGCCAATGCTTTACTCCCTCCCTTGTGTAGAGGGGCTATGTCTGCTACTTTAAGTGCATCTGGTATCTCCCCCGTGTCCCAGATCTTCCTCCACACTATACTGAATGCCTGTGCTACCAGCACTTTGCATTTCTTTATAAATATTGAATTCCATGAATCTGGACACAGGGCCGAGTGCATGGGCATGTTTTCAATTTCTCTTTCAAAGTCTAGTACGCTCGTGTTGATATCAGTTATATTTACACGGGTTTGGATATCCCGCATAAAGAAATTGTCTGGATCTTCCACTTTCATGTTATTTATTGGAGTGCTAAACATGTCCTCATACTGCGTTTTTAGGATTTCACTAATTTCTTTGTCATCCTCTGTGTATGAACCTTCACTTGTACGAATAGGTCCAATACTGGCAGTGGTTTTTGCTTTTGATTTCGCATATGTAAAGAAGTGTTTTGGATTTTTCTTTATTTCCTGAATTGCTTTCTGTTCTAACTGCCTTTTTTTAGTTTGATATGAGTGTTTCAATTTCCGCTCAATTTCTTCAATCTCCCTATTTAAATGATATGATATAATATAATCAGTCTCTGTTTGATTTCTTCAATCTCCCTGTTTAAATTATTCGTTCTTTGTATGGAAATTTGTGTTTGCTTAACCGTTTCCGTTAATTTTTCCTTCTTTTGTAGTGTCGTCTGCGTACTCCTTCTACGTTGGACCTCTTTCTGGCTTTCCTCAAAGGAACATGTTTCAGACAGACTTCATATGCTTCAGAAGTCAGTTTTTCTATTCCTTGTGTAGGATTTTTATTACTTAGAACATTTTCCCATTGAATGTTTGTAAGTTCCCTGTTTATTTTCTCCCAGTCTATCCTCTTATTATTAAAATTGAATTTATTGAATAACCCTTCTCGCTTGTTGTTTCTCTTTGGCTTGGGAAGAACCGGATGGACAACAGAAGGGGAAGCACAAGGGGGGGAGCACGGAACCAGAGCTGAAGTGACTTCCACCCCCATGTCTAGGTCCCTAAAACCAAAACGGTGCAGTCTCGGGGCATGCGGGGGAAGCAACCAACCTAGCACATTGCAGCAACCTAAACCTAGCATGCAATGCAGCTGGCGCATGCACCCTCGTATCATGATCAGTAGCTTTGGTGAACTGGAGCATGCACAGGCAACAAACATCGCACGACTCCGGGTCAAAAGAATCACTGACCCAACAGGCAGCATGGCAGAGGCACAACCGGTGATTGTCCCCCATAGACAAGGGGACAGAGCAATCTTCCAACTCGCACAAAGCGAGAGGGTCACATCCATCGGACCACAGAGCCCCCTGCAGGGTTTCCAAGGGGCCCTTAGCCTTATTAACACTGGTTTCCAAGGGGCTCTTAGCCTTATTAACACTGGTTTCCAAGGGGCCCTTAGCCTTATTAACACTATGGAAAACCCAGGCAGGGAACTGCGAACCGGTGCCCAAGACTACCAAACAATCTGCTAATAGTTGAACCCCTGGGACGTGTCCACTCACGGGGGCCTAGCAAAGGGAGTACCACTAACCACACAAAAACTGAGAATAGGTATAATGGTAGATATATACACCCCAACACCACTAAGGGAGACCCCCCTCACCAGGCAGAAAAACAAAAGCAAAACCCCGCAAGAGGACAACGTACCCAAGTGGAACAGAGCCGGCTGCTGTAACAGGTGAAAACTAGCTGTGCAGTGCACCGCGCCCCTACCAGTGATGAAAACTACCCCCTACACAGAGGCAAACACAGGCAACGAAGACCCCAATTGACTCCAAGGGCAGCCAAGTACCGAGCAGTAAAAGACACAGCGGGGGTAGATCCTGAGGTGACTTGTGGAAGGTGGCCCCAAGCCCCAAGTGTTGTAATTACAGGGCACCTAGGGAAGGTGGCCCTAAGCGCATGCAGCCCGAGTATCGAAGAATATTACTCCTGGCTCTCACACCACCAGTAGAGACAGTCCATGCCCAAGGCACAGAAACCGAGACAAATCGCTGGAGCCAGAGGCGCAAGACCACACCAGTAGCACATTAGCCTGAGAACTGAAGGGTGGATTGCTGGTGTGGGGGTCTGGGGCTCCACCTTACCCCTCCTGGGGAGGGGAGGGGAGTTGTGCAGATAGCAGCGCGGCGACATGATGACGTCATGCTCGTTTGCTAATTTTTGCTTGGGGAGTACTGCCCCACTCGTTTGGCTTTTGGTAGCAATAGTTTCAGCAGAATAGGGGTCTGTTTTGGGGTGCCTACCTTTCTGGGTGCCAGATCTGGTCGATGGCAGACATAGACTGTTCCCAACCAAATGGGGGGTTTCTATAGGCCATTGCTCCTCATGCCGCTGTCGAGGGGGCCAGGTTCTGGTTCATGGTCCCCGGTAGGCAAGAACTCGGTGCCCATTGACTGATGCCAGAAAGTTATACATATCCATTCAGCCTGAATAGCTCTGGGGAGTCGACGGGACTCCCCCCAGAAAATCATATTGTCATTCATAAGTCTCGAAAAATGGAACCAAAAGAATAATTCTATCCAAACGAAGAAGAAAAAACGAACTCACCACGGCTTCATACGACGTATATCTTTGCTTTAAGTCTTTTCCATTCATTGTGATAAATGCTCCTTTGTTACCCATTGTGTCACTGAAATGAAAATAAAACATGTTTACTGCATTGTATTACTGTATTTGTAGAACACTGCATTACACTATAAGAGAACACTGTATTGCTTTGTAGAGCATTGTATTATTTGTAAAGCATTGCATTACACTATAAGAGAACACTGGATTACTGTTTAGAAATTGTATTATTTGTAGAACATTGTATTACACAATATGATAAGATTGTATTAGTTTGTATAATATTATCTTGTAGAATATTGTATTATAATGTAGAAGATTGTATTATAATGTAGAAGATTGTATTAGTTTGTAGAATATAATATTATCTTGTAGAATATTGTATTATAATGTAGAAGACTGTATTATAATGTAGAAGATTGTATAACCTTGTATTACATTGCAGAATGTTGAATAACCTTGTATCATTACGCTATTACTTTGCAGGAGGAGAATACCTTTTTGCATTCTAGTTCTATGCAAAAACTAGAACAAAAACTACATCCAGCATTCGGCCCTTGCACAAAGCTGATGGAACTTTCACAGATGATGACAAAGAAATGAGTGAAATACTGAGGTTTCAGTACAATTCTGTTTTCAGTGAACCCCTGAACACATTATAGATCAACGAACCAAACGAATTCTTTCTAAATGTGACACCAACAAACCATATATCAGATCACTTTAACCCTACTGGATTTTGAAGAAGCCATAGACAGTATGCCCATTGCACCAGGACCAGACTATTGGAATTCCATATTCACAAAGAAGTGCAAAATACCACCATCACAAGCCCCCAAATATCTTTTGGAGATGGCGCCCAGATACAGGTGTCATCCCCGACATACTTAAAGCTTGCCCCACTTCACAAAGGATGTACTAAAGCTGAAGCAAATTTTTTTTTAGACCAATAGCTCTTAACTTGACACATCATAAAAAATCTCTGAAATAAGAGCTAATTAGTAAGATTACATATCACATGGAATCACAACCTCTACATTACCAGGGACAACATGGGTTCAGAACAGGGCACTCTTCCCACTCACTATAACATGGCATTAGGGGCCATGGAAGACAAGCAAAATGCAAATGTAATATACACAAATTTTGCTAAAGCTTTCGACAAATGTGACCATGGTGTTCTTGCACACAAAATTAATTCTTAAGAAATTACTGGCAAAGGAGGGAGATGGATATTTAACTTCCTACCAAACAGAACGCACGGTGTAATAATCAACAGTACAATCTGGATCACCAACTGTGCAAAGCTCAGTCCCCCAAGGAACAATACTTGCTCCGGTACTTTTTCTCATCCATATACCAGACATAGACAAGGATACAGACTATAGTGCTGTATCATCATCCAACCCGCTCTCGCACTTTATTACAGTCAATATTGACTTATTAAATACGTGCATATGTGACATACTAAACATACTAGTTTACCTTGAAAAGCTTCATATAAAACACCGACCTTACCTAACCTTCTTAGTATGTTAGGATAAGCATCTTATTGCTTCGTAATTACAATTATTACTTAACCTATTATAGGTATAGGTTAAGTAATAATTGTAGTTACGAAGCAATAAGATGCTTATCTTAACATACTAAGAAGGTTAGGTAAGGTCGATGTTTTATATGAAGCTTTTCAAGGTAAACTAGTATGTTTAGTATGTCACATATGCACGTATTTAATAAGTCAATATTGACTATATGAAAGTGCGAGAACGGGTTGCATCATCCTATGCAGATGACACTAGGATTTTCATGCGAGATTTTCATATATTATTAATTTATTAATTTATTTTATAATATATATATATATATATATACCTTGAAAAGCTTCATATATATATATATATATATATATATGTCGTACCTAGTAGCCAGAACGCACTTCTCAGCCTACTATGCAAGGCCCGATTTGCCTAATAAGCCAAGTTTTCATGAATTAATGTTTTCTCGACTACCTAACCTAACCTAACCTAACTTTTTCGGCTACCTAACCTATAAAGATAGGTTAGGTTAGGTTAGGTAGGGTTGGTTAGGTTCGGTCATATATCTACGTTAATTTTAACTCCAATAAAAAAAATTGACCTCATACATGATGAAATGGGTAGCTTTATCATTTCATACGAAAATAATTAGAGAAAATATAATAATTCAGGAAAACTTGGCTTATTATCGGGCATATATATATATATATATATATATATATATATATATATATATATATATATATATATATATATATATATATATATATATATATATATATATATATATATATATATATATATATATATATATATATATATATATATATATATATATATATATATATATATATATCCACCAGGACCTTGCCCCACATCCCCAAGGCTGCCCGTCATCAAGCAGCAGCCAAACTCACCAGTCTGCTGACAAAGGTCAACAATGCTCCTAGAACCATTGGAGCATGGCACAATCTCCTTCTATTTGGGAATGCATGCCTAGCATTACCGCCCAGGAGAGACAAGTCATTAGCAACCTCTGTAATCAGAGCTCTTAATGAATTCCCCAGAGCAGACAACCTGGTCCGCCTCCCCCCTCGTGCCAAGAACACCAGCCGCAGGACGACCAACAATAACTCATCTGAGAACCACAAAATGAGAGCACAGATCACCAGGAAAATAGAAGAGGGCAATACCACAGGTGCCATCAGAATCATGACCAGCGATGACACTATTGCCCCCAGGAACGCCACGACAGCAGAGGCTCTTCAAGACAAACACCCACCCAGAGCCCCCGACAGCAGCAGGGATCCCCAGGAAAACAATGCTGGCATAGAACCCTTGACTGTTCGAGAATCTGAGGTGTACAAAGCAGCCATGTCTTTCCCAACAGGTTCAGCAGGGGGCTTTACAGGCCTAAGACCCCAGCACATCAAACAAATGCTGAACCCGGTGCTTGGAGATGCTGCAAAGGACCTTCTAGTGGAACTTACCAGATTCTCCAACATGTGTTTGGCTGGCGGCATCCCTGAGGACATCAGGCCTGTCTTTTATGGAGCAGCACTCTGTGCTCTAAAGAAGAAGGATAGGGGTATCAGGCCCATTGCCGTTGGCAACACCCTCCGACGCCTTGTAGCTAAGGCTGCAGTGAGATCTATCAGCCAGGAAGCAGCCACCTTGCTGAAACCTCATCAGCTCGGGTTTGGGATTCCCCTAGGTTGTGAAGCTGCAGCACATGCAGCGCGGGCTTACATTGTTGATCTCCCGGACCAGAAGGCACTAGTAAAGCTTGACTTCAAAAATGCCTTCAATCAAGTCAGACGAGACGCTGTCCTCAGGGCTGTACACAACCATTTCCGTCCCCTTTACCCATTCATCCGATCGTGCTACAGTGGGGACTCTAAGCTTCTTTTTGGGGAGCATGAAATAAACTCCTGTGAAGGTGTCCAACAAGGTGACCCCTTAGCCCCCCTCCTTTTCTGCCTAGCTATCAAAGAGGTCACTGATAGTCTGACAAGCGAGCTAAACATCTGGTACCTGGATGATGGCACTCTAGCTGGAACTCCGGAAACCATTTTGGGGGATATAAGGAAAATCCAGGAGCAGGGAGCAGCCTTAGGCCTCATTCTCAATGCATCCAAATGTGAAATAATCTCCCGCAACCCAGACATCACTGGGCAAATACAAAATGCTCTTCCAGACATTCTCGTTGTCGAGCCACCGGACTGCACTCTCCTGGGTGCCCCCATTGGCCCACGAGCAATCGAGGAGGTCCTGGCTGCAAAAATCACTGACCTAAAGAGAATGCAGGACAGGATTGACAAGATTGATGCCCATGATGCTCTCTTTCTCCTTACAAGATGCCTGTCTCTCCCTAAGTTGACCTACTTTCTGAGATGTTCTCCATCCTACAGCAGCCCTAAGTTAAATGTGTATGACACCCTTCTGAGGTCCATGCTGGTGAAAGTCCTGAACCTGCCATTGGACGACTCTCAGTGGGAGCAAGCAACCCTTCCTGTAAGACTCGGCGGCCTTGGTGTCCGCACAGCCTCCCAAATTGCTCTACCAGCCTTCCTTTCCTCCTCTCATGCATCGCACGACCTCGTCAGAGATATTTTACCTGCAACCCTGAGAGATTCAGCAGGAATACACGATCCTGCTTTCACTGAATGTTCAAATCAGTGGAATGTTCTTGCAGCCCCAGCAACCATTATAGAGCCAACAAAACAACACAAACAGTCCGGCTGGGACCACCCTCTAGTGGAAAAAGTAGCTGATGCCATGCTAAGCGTCGCAACATCAGACAAGGAGAAAGCCCGCCTCAGAGCAGTGCGTGCCCCCCATGCAGGAGACTTCCTCCTGGCAGTACCCATGTCTGCAATGGGCACGCGCCTAGATCCAGAATCCCTTCGTGTAGCAGTGGCCCTCCGCCTTGGTGCCCCAATTCACACTGAATACAAGTGTATTTGCAACAGGGTGGAAGCAGACCAATACGGACTGCATGGGTTGCATTGCGGAAGCACAAAGGGCTGGCATGCAAGACACAACGAGGTCAATGACATCATCAAGAGAAGCCTCGTCTCAGCTGGGTGCCCAGCGGAGAGAGAACCTCGCATCCTAGGGGTCCAAAACCCGGATTTCCCAGCACTTCGCCCTGATGGCATCACCATATACTCATGGAAGGAGGGTAGACAGTTGGTGTGGGACTACACATGTGTATCCACCCTGGCTGACACCTATGTACACTTCGGAGCTGATCAAGCAGGTGGGGCGGCCAACCACAGGGAAACAGCAAAATCACTCAAGTACAGGCGACTGGAAGGTCAATACCTCTTTGTTCCCATAGCGTCTGAGACGCATGGCCCCTGGGGCAAGAGTGCCTTGGGATTTCTCAAGGAATTGGGGTCCAAGCTCATTGACGTCACCAGAGACCCAAGGGCTTCCAGTTTTTTATTTCAGCGTCTCAGTGTGGCGATCCAGAGGGGAAATGCTTGCTGCGTCCTCGGTTCCTGTCCAGAAGCGGAGGAGCTTC